GTCATTGATTGCTACAAGGATGTCTTAGCCTCAGTCACAGGAAACGGCCTCGTATCTTTACGCTTTTTAAACTCCCTCGATATAAGACTTACAGGTTTCAACGAATATACCGTTCTATTCGAGAACCTTGTTTCTATAAGGCAGTTGTGTAGCACCTGTGATGGGAGAGGGATAAAATTTCGCTGCGAAGGAGAGAGATGGTGTGACCGATTGTGCCTAGAAGTTGGAAAATCGTTCAGTGTTCACCATTATTCGACGACGGCCGGGTTGCCAGCAATAAACCTGCCATTGGCGTCGCGGACAGAGTCAGTTACCGCAGATAGCTTATCGTTGACTTTGCGTAGTTTTCGAGTGTCACTAACATTTGACGCCCAATAGTTCTCAGGGTCATCCCTAGTCGACTCTTCCGTTATGTCCCAGAGTTAGCGAAAGAAACCATCATCACGGGATCCGGCTCGAATCACCTTAGCAGACGGCTGTTGGGTTCTTCAGTTGATACAGTTACTGTAGTCACTGGATTTGTCTTAGCTGTCCCATAATCAGTTATGCAGTTGTCTATTCCAAGCAACCAACATGCAGATTGAAATTTGACACGGTCAAAACCGTGTAGTTTCCCTCCGAAGATAACCTCAAAAGCTTAGCTGAACAGGGCGTGTGATATGACACAACCTGGTCAAAGTTTGGACAGAATAAAGAGCGGCCGAGAGAGAGAGCAAGATGGCCCAGAACTCACGTAGTCTTGAAACGACAGCAGCCACTTGTCATTGGGACTTAGCTGGCATAATGTTTAGCTCAATTTTTTGTAATGGCGGCTTACTATGAGCGGCACCGAGGGTGACAACGATGTCAAAAAGATGGAAAGCTGTCTGTTTTGGGAGTCATTGCGCAATTCAATAATGCACCATATAATGGCCATCTAATCGGTGCATTCATACCTAGTTCGAAAACCAGCATGATTGAATCTCTTCCGTGGATGCAACCTCGAGAATAACAAAAGCCTTCTAAGAGGTTTGAAGCAAATTATGTCACTGTATTTCGCGCATATGGCCTTAGCTCTTCCCCGGGACAGGCCAAATGATAGCTGTGCCTCCATTATTAAGAACGAATTTATGGTTTCCCCGAAATCACTTATCCACCTCATTGAGCCAGGATATAAACACATTACATGGTAACTCTGGAGGAGGTACGGCTCTGTATGCGAGCCCTGGTGTTCTGCGCCGATAAGTCCTTGAGTAAGAGCGGAACAAA